CGCCGCCTGCGCTTCGGCCAGGGGCCTCTTCGGTGTAAGGGTCGCCGGGGGATGCCGTTGCTCTGATTTTTAGCTTGCGTGAGGTTTTTTGGTCTGCGTTAATGAAAATCTAGTGATTCTTTCAGCTGAAACAACGGCTGGCGAGTTTTTACGGGTTCCAGCTCAGGTATGGTAGTTGTGCCTGGCTTTGTGTTAGAGTAGTACACCTTAAGGTCATGGTTAGGCTTGAGTGGGGTCAATCATAGGGCGGTTTGGGTTGGACCTTCCAAGGCCGCCTGGCCCGACCCCCCTGCAGCGAGCAGGGATGCCTTGCACCAGACCAGGCTGCTCAGAGCCTCCTCCAGCCTGGCCCTGAGCGTTTCCAGGGATGGGGCCTCCACTACCCCTCTGGGCAGCCTGTCCCAGGGCCTCACCACCCTCCTCGTGAAGAGTTTCTTGCATCCATTCTGCTTCAGTGGCCTTGCCAAAGTTAGTTTTAAGCGTATTCAGAAGTTCGTGAGGAGAATATGACACAAGTTTTGTAGGTAACACCTATCAAACATTAACTCCTCAAATTAACACTTCTTACGCTATTTTGTTTAATTCTAGGGCTTGTACAAGCCATCCAAAGCCTCTTGAATACTTTTGTTCGTAAGTGAAATAGCGTGCTTTTGTAGTGTATCCATTTGAGTGCTAATAAAATAGCAATTGATACACATTTTAGCAGAGGAATGTTGCATACTCAGAATCATTCCTTAGATTCGCCCCCCCCCCCCCCCCCGTGACTTCAGAGTAATTTCAGGGAGTTTTAAAACTGCAGTGATGTGGATGTCGCAAGAGTAAGGTTTGATTATGTTTTGAGACTAAGATTTTTTTTTTTTTTTCCACTGCAGCTATTGTTTGTTGGGTAGAGTTGGTGAATTCTGTTTTTGAGGTGAAAAATGAGGTTTCTGAGAAAGTCTTTTAGTTATATTATTTTTTTTTCCCTTACTCTTCATTATGAGATCTTGGTGTAGGTTGCAATAAAGCTTAAAAGGGTGGTATGAAAAATCAATTTCTCAGTGTTCAGAGCTACATCTTAATGTGATAACTGGGCACAATTGATAGAGGTATAGTTTCCCATAACCTTATATGGCATTTTTTTTTTTATCCAAGCAACTCATCTGTGTGGAGTACAATACTGTAAATGCTCTGTCAGGATTGTTCTTCACTCATGTAAAGTTGGAGTTTTAAATTTGCAAGTTATTAGTAATTTAGCAGGCCTTATCATATGCCTGGCAATTGTACTGCAGACTGGTCTACGCTTCTGACTTGAGGCCTTCAATTCTTAGTTCAGATGGAAAGAAAGCTGTGTCTCTCTAGCAGTATGAGTGACAGTTGTATGGTAGTTAAGTGTTTTGGGGTTTATCTACACGTGTGCCAAGGTGAATTCTACTGGGTAGATCTTAAAAATCACAAATGGTAGCTCTAGATATTCTTTGTTAATAAACTGGTGCAAACTGTTAACTTTCATTGCACTTTCCTTCCCATATTACTCTACTTGATTTTGAAGATACTTCGGAATAACTGTGTGTTTGAATAGAAAGAAGTATGATAATCCTGGGCATCAGTTGTTGCTGTTCTGTAAAAAAAAAAAAAAAAAAAAAGTTTTTAGCAATAAGAATGGGTTTACTCTTGCTGCATGTTCTGTTAAAATTATAGTTCGAAGCAGTAATGCATTTTTTTTCTTCATATTTCTGTTGCAGATTATTAGCTACTGGAATGAACAAAATCAGTTTATAGTTAATGTATCACACCAAGTACTTCTGTGTTCAGTCCAACAGAAATAGATGGTGGCGAACATGTGGCTGAGATGGTAGAGATGGAATTCAGGCTAGCTTCTGCTTTTGGACTTCAGTGTGGGTGTCCATCTGCTGAGGAGTTCAAAAGCAAACCTTCATGGCTGTCCTGGGTTTGGCCAGGACAGGGTTAATTTTCACCGGACTCCAGGAAGGGGCACAGCCCGGGGGGTGGGGGCTGACCCCACCTGGCCAAACAGAGCCCGGTATTCCATACC